GCAATGGCTGTTGCCTACAATTAGAAATATACGTGGCTTAATTTATAAGGACGTTTATTGAGCTGGTTAGATGGTTCAATGCTATCATTAAGAAGTAGGCATTTTCTATCATTTCAACCAGCCATATGCTCAGCATTAGTAAAATTTTTCATGCTCATCAAGCTATCTGCTACAGCTCCATACATCACATCCTTATACAACAGTGTCCCAAGAAGAAAGAGAAAGGGCTGGAGCAAAAGTGGTTTTACATAATTTTTCTCTATTTACGTAAGACTATTTCCCCCAGATGCCTTCACAGAATTCTTCCTGTATCTTATTGACTGAAGCTGAGTCATATACCCATCCCTGAACTAATTGTTAGCAATGGGAATTGGCTTGGACCAATGTTCACAGCTGGAACATTGTATTCCTACCTACACAAAACCAAGGTTCTGTTGGCAAGAAAAAGGGGAGCATGGTTGTTGGGGGAACAATTAACAGTGTCTGCATTCTGGTTAAAGCAAAGTTAAAAATGTTTCTAGATTACAAGCCCCCCTCAGAGTCCTTAATGTGCTAATGAACACTGAATCTCCAAGAGAGGAATAATGCAGTAGTTAGCATTTCCCAAGCATATTTGACCATGAAAATATTTTTTTTGGAAGAACATTTATTACGATGTTCTGGATGTCTATTATCCCACAGAGCTTAGTTTCAGAAATGCTAGCTTATAAGTGCCTTAAAGATAAAATCAGTTTTGAGAGGGAATCAATATAAGGTTTTGAGTCACTTCTTCCTACATTCATAGGAATGATTTATTCTTCACAACTTTTCTTTTCAATATATGGAAACAGCCTAGAGATGAAATACATTTTAAAAAAACTATTCTTATCTGATGCCAGCCAGGAAAATAAAAAGATGTACATTGATTTTTGGGACATAATGCAGGAACCATAAACCACTTCGACCAAAAAGAATCCAGGTAAATAGGTTCAAGGAACAACAATAGCTTCATAAAACTCATCACTGTCCTCACTAAGCTTAGTAAAAAAAGAGAAAAGAGAGAAAAAAAAATACATCAGCAAGAGTTTTCACCAAACCTACCGGGTAAAAACTCATTATATGAAGATTCTGGCTTGATTTCGAAGCATACATTCATGACAATCTTGCTCTGAAACACTTTCCCTTTCTTTGCTTAAAAATGTGCTTCTGATGTCAGATACCCTCAATTCTCTGATTTGCTAAATGAATTTAATATTTTTGCATTAGATTGTCCTTTCTGGGAATAGCCCTTGTAGTCCCTTTCTCAATTCACCAGCTACTTAGTCTTCTCGGAGCACTCTGAACCAAGTTTCTCTCCCGGTCTCATCTCCTCACTTGACATTTTTTTCTGATACATGGAGCCTTGCAGAACTCCTGGGAGTTCTTTCCATCTGCTTTCTGTATGCTCTGCATACATTAAGACATAATGCATGGCTTGTGATTCATCACAAACACCTACCTACTACATTCTACTGCAATGATGATTTTTTTCAAAAATCACCAATATAAAAAATTGAAAACGTTAGTCCTTCATAGTTTTCTGGACTCTCCTCCTCTTGTCACCTAGAGAAACACACTAGCACCCAAGTGCCATTGTGTAACTGCTCACCTTTTCCATACTGACAACAGTAAATCCCTCAGTATTCATGCAAGCCAGTGAAATAAATTCCACTGGAGGAATTACAGAGACGTGTGTCAAGGGGATAGATAAATGATACATTGGAGACCTCTAGCAACAGCAGAATAGGAGTTTGTGAGCTGTTCGTTGTTGAAAAGACCTATGTATGTGACTCTTTGCTTTAAAAATTGCCCCTCAGTGAATATTCATTTAACCTGAGTGCCACAACAATGGGCTAAGGTGCCCTCGGCAACAGGTTGCCCCGAGCATTGTGAAACATTTTCCACTTTCTTAGGCAGAAACCTGAGATGCACAATCTCCTGCCTTGTGCTGGAGATGGTGATTTTAAACCTCAGCCCCCCTGGGTTTCAATGGTGTATTGCTTTAGGTTCCCAACACCACTGATTTTCAAACAACCCAAGGAGAAAGCAAGTTTCCAGTCGTTAATATTTCTTATGAGAAAGGTGCGGTCATCAACTGGGATGACAAGGGTCAAAAGAAAATTAGAAAAGCCTTCCCGATCTCCCAGGCCTTACATGTTTCCTTCTTGCTGGATCTCTGACAACTGGTGAAATAGGAATCACAGTCCTCCTGAAAATGTCTGTTCCTGCTTTCCCAGGGGAAGAGGAGCAAGCTACCAGGTCAAGGTGATGGCAGTCTGTAGGTACATCAAAACTGGGCCCTTAAGCCTTAAAGTCAATACAGAAATTTCAACACTAAGCTCCATTTTGATTCAAGAACATGAAAACATTGCTTCCATCAGGTCGGTGCAATCTTCACTACCATGTGCCAGGGGTAAAGAGTTGCACAGCTTTTCCATATTTAAGACACCTAACCCAGGGCCTAGGGAAATGGATATGTTAGTACATTAGACTGCTGATAATAGTTGCACTCCAAATAATAACACAATTCTCATTTGCATCTTCACTTTGCTAGAGTTCTTATCTGCTGAAGGGTATTATACTTCTAGGAAACAAAAGTGTTTGCCATAAATTAGAGAAGTTATAGCAAGTAGAGCTGAACACCATGAATGAGAATAATTTTTATTACATAAAATCTAAAGCAGGTGGTCTAGGGTCAGTGGGTGTGGTGGAAAATGGTATTTTAACTCTCAGCAGTCAGTGGTCTGAACTGATTATGCTGGCTCACAAAATCAATGGTGTTGTAGTGCTAGATTTTACTGGCTAGTGAGAGCTAATTGTTAAATATTCTGGAATTTTGTAAACCACAACTGGAAATTGGCAGACATTACAAACTGAGGCTTTGTTTTCCCCTCCCAAGAGACATTTTATCTCTAGACCACTACACATGGACTCAAGGACACAGATTAGCTCCCAGAATTGAGAAAATGTTCCATTCTCCCCTACCCCCACAACCCCCAAAGAGCAGAACCACAAACCAATCAATTTAAAAGGAAATAAAAATCATGAAAACAAAGACCTTATACTGCTATCTTAATATAATTCTTAATCCTAAAGTAATTTTCTCCAAGTTTATAATTTTATATTCATTCAAAGTGATATCTGTAAATGGACTTAGCTTTTGCTTGGTATTGGGGGTGGGAAAACAGAGTAACTTTTGCTCACTCCAGGAATAGAGTGTTAGATATCAAGAATGTGGAACGTCAAGGAGAACAAAACTATTATGAGTAACAGCATGAAAGAGGAGGGATTACTTTTCAAATATTAAATATAGGTCACGGAGTCTGCAGCAGTGCTCACTGAAATGTTAATTCCATTCAATTCAACTTGACAAACATTTATAAACAATAAGTGTGGCTGAATTGAACTGAAATGTTAACATTTATCCTCCTGTGATATTTCTCTGCAAAAATTAGAAAAACTCCTTTGACTATAAATTAAATTCTACCCTGAGATGAATATTAACTTTATAATAAATACAATCATCAAATATTTATATCCCGCCTGTTTCATGACACCTGTTATTAAATTACTCAGCGGCTTAGAAAAAATAATGCAGAGATTCTACCACACTTAAACGGTATGAGAAAATACAAAAAAAGTGACAGAGATTTCTGAACTTTTAATGAGCAACTATGAATATGTATGGTAGACAGTTCCATTTTTTTTTTCACCTCTGGGTCGTTCTCGCCCTATTCTGAACGAAGCACTTTAGTCCTATTTCTACTAAAAGCACACTGCTCACCTAGTTTCAGTACATGTTCTATAGGAGGAATTGAGAGTCTCCCTAGTGCCAAGGGAGGGCACGTGGCTCAGCATGACCAATGAGAGTAGCACCTTTCCCTCAAAACAGTGACTGATTCTGAGGTGGATGCTTGCTTCACACAGAAATGATTATAAATTTCCTCAGGGTTATTGAGAGAGGAAAAGTCTCTCCTTTTTACCTTGACCCTGAGTGTGGGAGAATGTAGATCTGACACTCTTGCAGCTGCCTTCCTACATAGGAAGAAACCAAACATGAAGGAGAACAGACCTGATAGATGGAGATAAATTGAGGTCGGTGATATTGTTTAAGCCCCTTGAGTAAGCCATTCCAGAAGTCGTCACTATACTAGCTTATAAGTAATATGAGGTAAAATAAATTATCTTTCTTTCTTTATGATACCTGGAATTAAGGTTTCTGTTGCTTACCACCAAAAGAATTCTAACTGACACATATTTGCTGA